ATCTATATTTGTAGGTACAAAAGTTTTCTTGTATGTTGCAAAAGAAAGATCACCTAGTGTCATTTATGCTATATCTATTTCTAATGGTGAAAAGACTTTAAATAGAAAGTTTTGTTGTATGTAGCTTTGACAAATAATTTATCAAATCTTTTATTGAAAAATTCTCAAGTTTTGAAAAGTCAAACTTATCAAGTTGTAGATGATAATCAAAATTGGCAAAGAAAAATATTTATTGAATAGAAGAATGTACTAAATTATTATATGCAAAATCTATCAAAAACAAAAGAATTAAGGAATCCTCTTGATGATAGTTGATGATACACCTCATATATTACTTCAAAACTTAATTCATCTATTTTATTTGTTCATTAGTTTATAGATAAAAAGTCAAAGAGAACTTTATATCCATCATTAACATCTTAAAAAGGATTTTTTAAAATCTACATACAAATTGAATCTCCCTATCTAATATAATATCCTTAAAAAATCCATAATAGTAATGGATATTATCAAAAAAAAGCTTAGATGTTTCTTTATATGTGATAGATTTTGTATATTGTGTAAAACATGCCATCTTCATAAATGATTTACTATCAAAAATATAGAATCATATAAACTTGAGACTAAAAGATTCATGATAAAATCCATAGAAACACAAGACCATGATTATTTCAGAATAGGTTATGGGTGAAGAAGTCCATAAAGTTGATGATAAGGAGTTTTGGATCTTAAAAAAATATGGCATGATAGTATAAAGTCTTTTATTGCCTTCTACATTTGAGGCCACCAAAAATCTTTAGATATTAGCTCCAAAGTCTTATTGTATCCAAAATGTCTGGCTGTTGAAAAGTCATGAGAAGCTTGAAGAACAAATAATTGTACTTTGCCTTTTAAAATGAATAATTGTTCTTCAAAATAGAGTGGATTATTCTTAAACCTAAACTTAGAATTATCATAAGACTTGAAAGAATTATTTTTAATATCATGAACAAGAAGATCAAAAGACATACTCAATTAAAGTTGCTTGAAAAAAATTGAATCAATAGTCAATATTGATTTCATTGCTCAAAGATAAAAAATGATCTAGCTTTAAGAAAAACATTCTTTGTTCATCAAAAGATGCATCTCTTTTTTTTGATGCAAGATAAAAATGTCTAAAAAGAGTATCTAATAAACCTTATTATTTTTCTAATCAATAAATGATCTTGAAATGAAATCTTAATAAAGACATGCTTCAACGAACTTGGTGACAATTTAACACATGCATTGACATAAAGTATTCAAGATTCTTATAATTTGTTGTCATATTATGTGAAGCCTTCCTTGAGAATGTATTGAGCACATGGCTGTGGAAGATAGAAGGGAAATTACAATAATAAGATCTTGACAACCCTAATAGAATCTTAAATAATTCCAATTAAATCATAATAATGTTAATTAAACTTTAATAAATTTAAAAAAATCTCAAAGAAATTACAAAAGAAACATGAAAAAATCCTAAAGAAATTCAAAGGAAGTATTAAAATAAATCTCAAAATATATCTTAAATAAATTTCAAACAAATCCTAATTTAATCCTAATTAAAATCCTAATAGTTTCTACTTAAATCCTAAGTCAAATCCTAATTAAATCCTAAATAAGTCCTAAATAAATCCCAAACTCTTACTAATTTCTAAATCCCAAACCAAATCCTAATCAAATTAACTTAATCTTAGGACAGTTTAGAACCTCAATAGCTATCAATTATATAATTAATCTTACTTAAGATTTTATGCACCTTTTAAAAACTAAGTTAGCAACAAGTACACAAAATTTGAAGAAGATCGAAATTACCAAATAGAAGATTAACCCTAAATTCTACTTGGATATTGATTGGCCTCCTATTCCAATCTAATTGTTGAACTTCCAGTGCCAATATTTCCTTCTTGAACCATTGAATTGCCTCCAAAATATACTTAAACTATGGAAAATCAAGTCTAGTCTTTACATAAAAATAATTCACTTCAATCCAATTAATAGATTGCTAAAGATCTTAAAAATATTTACCAACCTTCAAATTCCAATTTTTGAGACCTTGATCCACAAAAACCTTCACACACTTTGATTTAACTATTTCATTGACTTCAAAATTTGCATACATACTAAAAACTAAATCATCAATACATTGTCCAAAATTCATCTATGCATACACCACAAGACTCAAGAAATCTTCAATTTTATAAACATAAATTTATTTTTTAAAATCTAATCCAACTAAGAAAATTATTAACTTTGAAAATCTTCCAAAAATTGAATATTAACTTGATTGACCTTAGACCAATGCTCAAAAATCTCTTTACTATTTTGCTTTCAAATCCCACTCTTTAATTTACCAAAGAACCCTGGAATAACTATAGGTATGCAATTCTGTGCCTCAAGGTCCGATTTCGACCTAGGTTGACAACAAGTCATCTCCGGATATCAATATTTGATAATTTGAGATAATTTTTACTTGAACCTATTGGCAACTCTTTCCTAAACATATCTATATTAATTACTTATCTTATTTATTTTAATTTAAGGCATTTATGCCCCTATAAAGCAAATAGAAGCTTGGTCTTTAAAAAGCAGCATTAAGACTAAATCTTTTGTTACATTCCTATCATTTATCCTTATTTTTCTACCACATCTTCCTACTAGGATCTTCTATAACAACATCCATATTTTTATTTTTTTACTATATAGTCATGTTACTATATGACATTGTATATATGGTGATTGGACTTGATGTGCCTTTTGAATAATAATGCCATTCTTAAAATGAATCCACAATAGCAAGAAGCTCTTTGTTATAGATTTCATAATTAATCTTAGCTACTAAAAATTTCTTTAAATAAAAAACTATTAAATGGAGTTTGTGTTCTATTCCTATTTGTAACAAAATTATATCCATAGTAAAGTTTGATGCATTTGTTTCCATAAAAAATGCCTTAGAGAAGTTAATACAATATAAATTTGGTGTAGTAATAAATGTTATTTTTAAGGTTTTAAAAGATTCTTCAATTTCTTTGCCTCACTGAAGCTTATCTTTATAAGTCAGATATGCAAGGGAAGTTGCAACTTGAAAAAAGCTCTTGATGAAGATTTGATAACAATTAGTAAATTTCAAAAAACATGATACATCTTTGATTATTTTTAGATTCTTCTAATCCAAGCTAGTCTAAACTTTCTTAAGATCCATTATAAGGTCGTTATTTGAAATGGTATATCCTAAGAAGTCAACTTGAGTAGTGTGAAATACATATTTTTTCAGCTTTGTATATAATCCTACATCTCTTGGTTTTTACAATACATGACAAACATGAATTTTATGCTCTTTTGTGTTCTTAAAACAGATTAGGATGTTGTCTAAACAGCAAATAATAAAATCATCAAAAATTTCACAAAAGACATTATTCATTAAATGTTGAAAAGTAGTTAGTGCATTTGTGAGTCTAAAAGGCATGACATTATATTCAAAATGGCCATATCTAGTTTAAAACTCAATCTTCCATTCATCTCCTTCTTTAATACGTACTAGGTGTCAAGGACAAGAACTCGATGAAAGCTAAAGAGTAAGTGAGACTTTTCTCAAAAAGAAATAGGGCAAAATAGAAATATGTATATTAAGAAAGAAACTGGAATGGCTATTGCCAAAATACAAGAAAACTAGAGACCCTTGAAACTAGACTAGAAGCAAGAAAGGAGTTGACAAGAGTGAAGAGGGCTTCACTCTTGCCTCTATATATACTATCTAACTAGAAGCCACGTGGCGATGTTCTATAAGACCTCCAATATATGTTGACTTTCTAGGCCACATGCCTTTGCTTGCAAGGCAAGTTTTCTATGGATGGACCACGTAGTTAGCTTGTTCTTTAAGCTTCCAACATGTGTGGCACATGGCTAACTTGTTGACCAAGTTTCTAACCTAAAAGTCAACTATAGACTCCTATAAAGTCAAAGCAGCATCTATGAAGCTTCTAAGAAGCTTCTCTAGAAGATATTACACAATTAACCTACTTTTATCTACTTTTACATACTTTTATCTATTCATATAGGTAATTATATGTATGTCCGTGACATTAGGTTTTATGCTCTTCATAGATCTATTTTTGTAAATATTTTCTTCATTGGATTGATCATGAAGTCTTGAAATTAAAGGTAGAAGATACCTATTTTTGATGGTGATCTTATTGAATCTTCAATAGTCCACATACATCCATAGATATCCATCTTTTTTCTTCACAAATAAATATCCGTCTTTTTTCTTCACAATTATAGAAGCTTTAGTTGGAGATTTAAAATGGCATATGAAGTTTTTAACCAAATACATACACAAATATTTATTCATATTAGTATTAATATATAAAAAATAAAATAAAAAACAAAATTCATACAACACTCAACTGCAAAAAAGAATACGTCTACTATTCAAACACTCTCAATGCAGCAAATCAAAACACACTATTAAACTCACATCACTACACATTTCATTTCACACACCCACCACGCTGCTAAGACACAACTCAATTCGACTCAACTCCGTTTCCCATTCACTGCATTGTCTTTCAAACATCCGCGCACCCTCACGCCGCACGATGGCCGTCCCCTCCGAGGCCCTGAAATCCAACCATTCATGAAGCAAAGCTGAAACCCCATTCACACGACGATCGCCGCACTGACACCACCACTGCATGCACATCCGCACTTCACACAAACCATGTTTCTCAAAATCATCATCTCCAATTACTCACACTCGTCGTCATCTCAACAATACACTGTACATCCTTCCATGGTCCTTCAAAACCGATCCTCCTCGCCTCCCACATACCTATCCCTGAGCTCTCTCTCTCTCATCCTAGCTCCAAACTGTACACTCAATTCCACAACTTCGGCACCGTATCATACACACGCAGCCACCCCACGGCGATGCAATTCACTGCCTTTGTTCTCTCCACGCCTACCGACATATGTGCATCCATTTAGTGGAACACGGGAGCTCCGCGGATCAGCTCCGTGACCACTAGCGACAGGAATCCTAGCATTGCTAGACGCCCGTTCCATCGCTCAGCTCGCGCCGTGAACGGCCCGAAGCTGCGAGCATCCGTCGACTCGCCGTTCATGATCGGCACCAGCGATGCGTACGTGAATAACTGCACCGCGCCCACGAAATACACAAGCCCGCTTGTGGTGGGGTTGAATAGCTGCTGTGCTACTGTCAGCCCCGTCGCCTTCTCCGCGAAGAACGCCCACACCATGCCCAACATCGCCAGTCGGCAGTTGATGGTCTCCGGGGCGGCCCCGTCGAACGCGAACACGCTGAAGAAGGACTTGTCGCTGGTCTCGGGCCGCCTCTCGATCTCCGGGCGGGGGGTGAACCCCACTGCCTGGTCGAACCCGGGAGTGGGCTTGGCGCCGAAGTAGGAACGCTGCTCGGACTCGTTGGTCTCCATGTTCTTCAGGATCTCGCCCTCCGTGATTTCCTTCTTCGTGCTCTCATCGATGGTCTCCCGCAGGCCCTTGCCCGCCTCGCATCGAACTCGCCCCGCCAGCGACGCGCCCAGTCTGGGTCGGGCCACCACACGGGAAGCAGCGCTGGACAGCTTCGTGGAGGATGGAGTCAGGGCCATGAGACCGCCGGCCATGGGAGCAGCAGCAGACATCTGAGACATCGTGGCGGCCATTGTCCTGTTCTACTGGCAAATACGAGATGTAATCAATCGGCTTCCGAAATCGCGCGAAGACTGAAGATAATGCGAGATACAGCAGAGGCAGGCCACTGAACTGCGAAGTATGAATGGTTGTCGATCTGATTAGTTCTCCACCTGCTGGAAGGTTGATGAATGTTGCGCTTCTGACAACTGGAGGCGGAGCGCCTGAGTTTATATGCAAGTGCCAGTGGGAGAATCTGAGGAAGCCCTGGTAGGGTTGCCGCAGATGATCATGCGGAGGGAGCGGCCAGTTGCAAGCTGCAGCGCGCGACAGGGCAGGATGGAGATGGGGGGGCGCAAGTAGATGGCATGTGGCGATGCATCGAAAACATCCGCAAAAGTGAGGGCGTTGGGCGAGGAATACATCCACGTCCGCGGATATGTGGAGTAAAGCGCATCTTGGCGAGTGCCTCTGGATGGTAGAGAGCCAGGGCAGACGCCAGGAGGAAGCACAGCATCGATGCCGACGTGGTGCATCAGACTGCACTCCCTCCACATTTCGGTCGTTTTGGAGGCACCACGGAGGCATTCTAGCACCGCCTGTTCCTCGCGTCTGGATTGGCCGCAAGAGTGTGCCTCCAACAGGCGCACATAGGCTGGCTGCGGAGCTCATGTGCTTTTGCTTTCCCCTCGAGTGACGAGATCTTTTGTCCCCTTCCGCATCGACGGGCTCACTGGGTTTATGGATTGCGTTTCAGGGCATGAAGCGTCGATTGAAGTTGCGATCGGTGGGTTCACGTCGGCCTGTGGACTCCGGAGTTAAGTTGGAATTGTGATAACTTGGAGAATTTGTTGTTTGTCTAGTTACAGCTGCACCCCTGTGTACTGTTTACCACACGTGTGACAAGGAAGCCTGAGGACAAGGACAGTGAAGGACTTCATCGGACAGTCTCAACTCGGAGGGTTTTGTTGGTGTTAACGATGGTCTGATCACCTCAATAGACATCGTTGTATGTATATTTTTAGGACTACATTTATACTATACGGCTGTTGTATATGTGTCCAAGTGTTGGAATAATAAAGTCATTATAGTTTGAGAAGAATGTAAGTATTGTTTTTATTATCCTATGAACATGGTATTAGAGCATAGTTTTGAAACTTAGTTGCATCTTATGTTGCTTATCCTTTCTATGCTTCTATGTATGCAAAAACTATGAAATGCAACCAAATTGTTAGCTAAACACTTATCCAATGTTAGATAGAGCAGTTGTTGTCCTTTCGTTCTTAGTTTTGTTTCATATATTAGTGAATAATTCTAAAAGCATGTGAAGGGATAACATTGTCTTGAAAGAAGTCAAGCTCACTAGTTTGATCTATTATAGTCCATGAAATGTTTGCCTAATAGCTATGATTATTGAGTGCAAAATTATACAAGCTTGGGTAGCTTCCTAAGGCTTAATCAACTAAAAGTACAATTTATTCTTGAAGAAAATAAAAGATAATATAAAACTAACAATCAAATATCAATTGTAGTTCAATGTACACACACTAAAGTGCTCTATTTTTGGAAAAGTGAATATCATTGCTAAAGTGGAGAATAAAGTTGATATCAATAATTGCATTCTCAATACTATCACAAAACTCAATCTCAAACATCAAATTTTTGGTATACATATCAAACCATTCAATGCTTTTATTATTGATGCCACGGCCATCCCAAGGATATGTGTCTTAAAGGACTTACAAACATTCTTATGCTCAAGGCAAAAGGATGAATTAAACTTAGTTCACAATATTTGACTAATATAGTCAACAAAGATTTGAAGTGGCCAGCATTTGATACTTACAAAGTTATTGAATCAATATAATCATTAGATAATGGCAATTACAAAATGTTCAAAATTACTTTTTTTTTCTTTAGATCTAATTAGCCTCAATTTTAGATGGTATCTAGATTTGAAAAATACTCAATATATTAGTAGTAATTGACATATTTTCTCTATATTAAAGAAATATAATAGTAGTCTTAAAACTATTGGTAGACAAAGCTATGTGATCTCTAGATGAGAAACTGTCTATTTTTTATTGCCATTTGAAAAAATAAAAAATATCTCTAGTATTTTTTTATGTACCTAGCTTGAAGAAAAACTTATTGTTGATTGATTCATTAACAAACAAAGGCATGATAGTATGATTTGATGATCACAAATGCATCTTATATAATAAATACAGCAAACAAATTATTATGGAAGATATACAAAAATAGTATTATTAACCCTATCAATTAGCAATCTATATCCATGATATTATAATAGTGCTAATACATATAAAAATAGATACAATCAAATCCTAGCATTTCTAGTTATGGCACATTAGATTTCATCACCTACACAAGCTCATAGCCAAAGTTATGGCAAAAAAAATCTCATACATACCTATTCACAACAAGGTTTGTACAAAATGCCAAGTTAGAAAGTAAGTTCAAGATAGTTTTCCTTGCCAAAACACATCCAATATGACTAAACCACTCAAATTGTTATACATGGATTTATACATGCCAATATCAATTCTCTTCATATGTGGATCAAAGTACATCTATGTCATTCTAGACGACTACAATCATTATATATAGATATGTTTTTCAAAGAAAAATCTTCCACATTTTAGCAATTCAAAATATTTGAACTCATGATTGAATTATAGCTTAATAAAAAAAATCCAAACAATGAGATTCAACCACAAAGGTGAGTTTTTATCCAAAGTCTTTATAGCACTTTAGAATTCAATTGGAATCTAAGACCAATTCACAAATACAAGAACCTCAGAGCAAAACAATGTTATAGCACATACTAATTACAAGCTCCTCAAAACAATAAAATGTATGGTACTCAAAGTAATAACTTCAAAGTTTTTGTAGACAAAATCAATAAATTTAGCAATGTTTCTCCTCAATCAAATACTCACAATTGTCATCTCCATCTAACTCATCTCTTTTCAATATTTATTTAAAAAAAACCGAATTTATCCTTCTTCTATATTTAAGGATCTTATGCTCATGTGTAGATTGAAATAAAGACTGCAACAGACTTAAGAAAAAATTCAAAATAAGACTACTAGTAGGATATGAAAACCAGAGCAAAAGATATTAGATCAGGTTATCACATGATCACAAGATTATAATAACCAAAAATATTTGATTTGACGAGTCCAACATACTCCATTTAGCTATTGCTTTCATTGATAATTTTGTATCCAAATTGGAAACTAAAGAGCACAAGATACCTAAATCTTTAAGCGTCATCAACTAGTAATGGAGAATACTCCATCTACTACAACATCCATATATGATTCAACTCTACTAACAGCTAACTCTAAGCTTACTAAACCACTAAACCACAATAGCACATACATTTTCTTAAATCATGAAACCATTCAACAATCACTCATTTAGAAATAAGTTCAACTTATCTAAACCAAACAATCTTTTGTTTGCTTGCTAGACAATATCACTTTTGTATATCAATAAGTACACATTGGTCTAAATCCAAACCAAATTAATCATCTCAAGAAACAACTTATGGAGAAATTTGAGATGACTGACCTAGACAATATAGCTCTATATTTAAGCATATAATTCATTCAAAGTCCAAATGGCATCTTCTTACTAAAAAAATTGTATTGTTTGCAAATCCTAAAAGAATTTAATATAATAGAATATATACCAACAACCATGCCCATAGTCAAAAGATTAAGATGAAATTAAAGAAAGACTTGTCAAGTATTAATGCAAAACTCTTCTAGCATCTTGTCAAAATATTAATCTATCTTATTAATATTAAATCTAAATTATTCTTTGTAAGTAAAGAATTGAGCCGATTCATGCATAGTCCTAAAACACCACTTCTAGAGGTTATTAATCAAGTGCTCTTCTATATCAAGAATGCTCTCGAACTTAGAATCTTCTATAAGAAACATGTGAGCCCAACAATCATTAGCTACACCAACTCAGACTAAGAAAATTATCAAATTGATAGAAAGTCCATTACAAGATGGATCTTTAAATCCACAAGAGGTTCCATCTTGTGGTCTTCCTAAAAATAAGAGACAATAGCCATTTCTTCCATTGATACCAAAGCCAAGGCACTTTTGGAGAGAATCTGCAAAGTCATATGGCTTTACATACTTTCAACAAAAATTCATTGCTTCACATCAAATCCTATCATGTTCTTTTGTAACAATCAAAGTATTTGAAAAATAATTGGTAATCTTGTTAATCACAAATAATCAATTATATTTTCAAGGACAAAGACTCGATGAGGAAAAATATACACCAAAAGGCTATCTCGATATAATAAGTCAAAATATAAACAAGTAGGTATATTAAAAGGAAACTAGAATGGCTATTGCCACAAGACAAGAAACTAAAGACTCTTGAACCTGGACTAGAAGCAAGAAAGGAGTTGACAAGAGTGAAGAAGCCTTCACTCTTGTCTCTATATATACTATCTAACTAGGGGCTACGTGGCGACGTTCTATAGGACCTCCAATATGTGTTGACTTTGTAGGACACATGCCTTGACTTATAAGGCAAGTTTTTCTACGTGTGGGCCACATAGTTACCTTGATCTTCAAGCTAACAACATGTGTGGCACATGGCCAACTTGTTGACCACGTTTCTAATCCAAAAAGTCAATTAAAGACACCTATGAAGTCAAAGCAGCGTCTAGGAAGTTTCTAAGAAGCTTCTATATTAAATATTATATAATTGACTTACTTTTATCTACTTTTACTTACTTCAACCTATTTCTATATGTAATTATTAGCTTACATGATTATGGCCATGACATATATAGAGCTATGGCTTCACTTTATTAAAGTAAATATTTTCATAGAAATAATAAATATTTTTTATGTTCAAATCTGCAATCAAATTGTAGATTTCTTTACAAAGCCATTAGAAAAACAAAGGCTTACTAAATTATAGAACAAGCTTAGAATAAAAAACGTAAATCTACTAGAAAATAACTAGGATTTTTTTTTGTAGTTTTTTCCTTCTTCTATATCCCTGAAATTGTAAAAATTAGTATTGATGCATCCATTGATTTGTTTCTCATATTCAACCCAATTCTTGCATATTTTTAGCTAGAATTCACGTTTCATGGTATAATATCTTATATGTACTTGTGAATCACATTTAACTTCTATATGACTTTCCAACAACAATCTTTGAAGACCATTTGAATCTAACTATAATCTTGGAGTGTCATCAACTGTTCTTTAATTTTTATTGGAAGCTAAATGCTTCTTAGAAGAAAATGTTGCTCAAATTGATACATTCAATAAGAAGTCCAACATCCACTAAAGAATAGTTATGAGTAGAGCAAAAATTAGAATGCTCACTTACAAGCACAATGTCATCTCACGTATCTCAGTCAAATTACTCATTTCATTGCAATAACATTAGAAACACAATAGTTAAAACTTCACTAGTTACATGATGGAAACTTAACATCATATCTACAAATCTTTCATTACTAGTATCTTTGAGCTTCACCTTTTATAAGATTACCATACTCTTTTCATTCATCTTTGTTTGTATAATAGCACTATTCACATATCCAAGTATCTTGGTGTAGAGAATATAAGGGTGGTCTATTGACATCAATAAATATTGTAGTATGTATTTTGTTAGGACTATATTTATACTATATAATTATAGTATATGTGTCCAAGTGTTCAATTAATAAACTCATTCTAATTTGATAAGTATGTATGTATTGTTTGTATCAACTTTTGAACAATTAATTACAAATTGTTTGAAGTTGTTGGTTATAGCATATTGTGTGCAGCACTATCAATATCATTAATTGAGGTAGAAGTTGTTAGATTTGCAAACAAAGATTAGTCATAGTATGCAAATATGTGGTGTATTCATATTGAGGGGTAGAAATTTTGGAAGTATCCACCATGGAGAGGAAGTATTGAAGATAAAGGAATGAAGTTGTTTTTATAATAAGTAGAAATAATATGTTGTTGCAGTATTGTGCGTATTCATGATAGTATTTGAAGTTCCTTATTAGAGGCTAAGCTCTTGTATGTGGTGTCAATGTCATCAGTTGCTTGGCTCTTTGATTGGCTTTATATGTTTGTAGTAAAAATAGTAATAATAGGTTAAAATAGATATCTAAGAACTTGCAAGGATAGCCCAATTCAAATGACTACATGCATTACAAAACACATGGCTATAATTTTTAAAATAATATTAAGATAGTTATAAAATTATCACTTAAATCTATAAGAGATTATTTATTGAATCATTGTTAAACAAAGATTAGATATTTAAATATTCTCAACTTCTAATTTGATATCTGAAATATTTAAAGAAGTTTATATATAGGTGTTTCAATCCACATGAATTCAATTTCAATAGTATTTATTGAAAAAAAAGCAAAAAAAAATTATTATAAAACATTATAAAATCATTTGAGGTTTGTTAATTTCATGATTACAAAATATAATTGTGGAAGATTTTAAGTAGATAAAAAATATATACATTCTATGTAATAATATTCATATGATTATTATTATTATTGTTATATCTTTCATGATTCTTTTTTAACCGTAGTAAGAAAATAAATAATCTATAATAAGAACTTTGTACAAACTGTATTATGACCTTTGAATTTAATTAATTAGAAAGTCATGAATGTGATTTAATATACATAAAGACACTTTTATTTCTATATACATCTATATATATATATATATATATATATATGATTTTAAGGTGTTGTATTCTTTAAAATGATAGCTTATAGCTAAAAAATAGCTAATAAAAATGAAATATTGTATAAATGTTTTTTTATTATATCTATACAAATCTTTTGTTTTCCCACCACAATAGGCTAAAAACATTCTGAGTAAATAAATATATATATATATATATATATAGATTTATATATTTACATGCATACATACATAAATATATCGTAAATTCATATTCACACAGTCATGATTCATGGTTTTGTTCACAAAATCGTTTCTTCGCAAATACGTCATCACATGCGCATGTGCACGTGAGGCTTTGTTCCAATGACTGTACCCATTCTTGCAATGCTGCTCCAGAGCTTAGCCAGCAAGCATTCATAAGGCTTTTCTGCTCTGCTCTCTCTTGCTCCTCCGTACTTGCCTCTGCAAACAGTTTGCAGGATTATGCTTCAATGGCTGCTTGAAACAAACACTCTTGCAACAAGCATGCATGAAGCAAAGGAAGAAGAAAGAAGTCTGCTTGACATGAATCCTTGAAACCGCAACACTAATCCTGCCAGGAATGTAACAAAAGATGAATCAATCTACGACGTTGCAGAGACACCACTTTACCGAAAGATGCTCAGTTGAGAGCGACAGTTTCGGTGAAGAAAGCAGACATGAACCCAGGTAGAATACTTTTCTTTCTTTGAGGTTGTGTTTGAGGGGTTCAAAAGCATATAAGTCTAGCTTTATTGTAACGGCGATGGAAAGAAAGCCCACTTGAGATCTAAAGCCACTAAGCATGCAGCCGCTGTTGTAGTTGTGAAGGAGTCATTTCATTGACATGGGTATTAGCGAGGTTCGAAGCTTTTCTCGCGCAGTGCGGTTGCTTGGCAAAGATTGCAAGTGAAGTGGATGTTGGATAAGCATGAGAGGTCATGTTGTTGGGTCGCACTAACCCTGACCTTGTGTTGTGCGGGTTTCCACTCGATTGATGTTTGGGTTCTTGGTGACTACTCTTCTTGGCTCAACATCATCATCTTCCTCCGCAGCATGCGATTCTCTCGGATCGCCAGCTCGTCTTTCGATGGGCATCTTTGTAAGCCGAAGCGCAGATACGCTCTTGCCAAGTTCTGGTTGTAGCGCAGGCTCTCCGCTACAAAGCTCCCGGGTCTTGAGTTCATCCTCTCCATGTCGTGCTTTATGATTCTCACCAGCTTCTCCCGCCGGACCATCCAGGGGGTCGGTTGTCGTGTGAGCCGCACCGCCTCCATCACCTCCTTCAAGAACTCGTCTCCTGATGCTCTCTTCCCCTCCCCCTCTCCCTCGTCCTCCCGCACTGGTTTCTCTTTCCCGATATGCTTCACAGATCTTGCGTCCGCACCTGATTCTTTCAACACCCTGGTTCTTTCCTCCCAATACCTGACACCTTCTCCATCCATCACCCCCTCGATCTCCACCTCCTCCTCATAATCCACACCCCTCCTCGGACCCTCGCACTTCGAAGTCACATTCTCCATGTTTGCAATTTCTGCCTTCAAGCTCCCTTTCACCCCTTGTAATGCTACTACGTGTCTGTCTTTACCACTGCGAGGATAACGCTAACACTACGCAATGCCTACACCTAATTGCGGCGCAATCAGTGGTCTTCCACTCTGAGAAAACTGGCAGAGAAGATCAAGATAATATTCTCAGTTGACACAGTTGCTTACCGGAATCGTGAGTGAGCATACCACGACCGCGGCTTGTGTGGGAGGGCTCAAAGCCACGTGTAGGGATAAAGATGGCTAAAGAATACCAGTGGTGCCGAATTGAGGCATTCACACTCAAATTCAGCATTGGTCCGGGTTTAGGATTTAGTAACTCACCCATGCTTCTAAGATTTGTGATGGTGTCTTGACCAACTCTGAGGAACGCATTTGTGTTGAGGGGTTTGGGTTTTCTGCTGTGACTCATTGGAACATGCGTTGATCAACAAGATCGATGGCAGCTTTTCTGTGGCACAAAGTAGCTGCGATCTCTGGTATGAACCTGCAATGCATCGGGGATATCGTGGCTTTTGAGTTTACTTTTTTTGTGCTTCCAATCGAACTTGAGACCGTCAATTGAAATCTGTTTTTAGATTCGTGAATCGTGAAGAAACTTTGATTTTGTCGCTAGGTTTTTCCATTTGGGCTGTTGCTCTTAATCTAGTAGAGAGATCATCTTCAACATCCAGAATGAAGGCGAAATGCTGGACATTCACAGGTATTACAGCTATAGTAGCTGGCACATTTGGGTCGCATGGGTTCAAACCGACAGATCCGGTTTACAAAACTGTGAGTCCACAAATTTAACCTCTTCATAGCAGGACCAAATTAACTCGTTTAATGATCACTGTTACCGATTCTTATGATGTAATCAATTCACTCCTATCTCAAAGCTAAAGCATGCAGAGAATCATCTGTGATCATCTGTAATGTCGATACAGTTGTGCTCCACGGACGCTTTACCTATGATTTGGTGCCTCGAGGCATGGCAGGTGTGGCAGACAGGCAACCTGTATCACCTAGTTCATACGTCAGCCCTTCTTGTTGCTCCTTACACTAAGCGCCCTCATTTGGTAAGTTCTCAGCTTCCAAGAACGCTCCACATTCTTCCCACAACGCCTAATTTAATGTTCTGAGATAGCTCGAGGGGAAGCATTATATTGTATCCGAAATTTCCATGTAGAGGTATTGGGTGTATCATTAACTGGGTGATTTCAGGTGCAGTTTGGAAGTCTTCTGACGTTCGGGATTGCAGCTTTCTCGGGGACGTAAGCCACCTGTTCTAAAACTTGAGAGTGTGTGTGGTGTGCTTTTAAATTGCATTTTGGTTCAACTTCGCCGCTGAATCTTTTCGGTTTTACTCTTGGGTATGTCCATAGAATTTCTCGCTAATTGCATAATCTTGTTTTGTGATCAATGCGAATGAAGTTATCAGAAAAATACCAAAAATGGATACTCCAGTCATGTAGGTTGTATGTCGTGGCACTGACTGAAAATCGCAAGCTCAATAAGCCAGCCCCATTTGGAGGCATGTCATTTATTCTTGCATGGGGATCTCTCCTCTTTTGAGTGTCCGTTGCGATTGCAAGTTTGGGTGCACAGAAAGGGACAAGGTAATTGGTCTTTCTGGACTGTGAAATATCTGAGTGGTTTTGCGTCACTGGCAGGAAAAAGTTCAGATTGATAGGATTGGTGCTGGAACATTGAATCATGAATGAAAATATATTTTTTTCTTTTTGTTTCTCTCAATGTTGTAGACTAAACAATGGTTAGAGGATGCAACATGCCTTTGTGTCGTAATCATGTTTTACAATATTGACTAAATAAATAACTTTAGAGCCCAGTGTGCTAGGTCAAGGAGGTTACAAAATATCAGAACTGCTTCATGATGTGAATTATTTTCTGGGCTACCGCCTTCATTAAGTGCCGCGTGAAGAACAGAAATGGGTTATATTTTGTCTGACTGCTGGTTCTAATCCTGAAGACCAAATCCTGCTATCAGGTTGACGCGCTTCGGCGATGAACGCGAAGGAATTTAAATTTCCCTGCTCCCATGGAGGATCCTTCAAATACATATGGACGATGACCTGTGGATGCCTTGTAACTATTCTGTATCTGTGGAGACGCAAAAATAGAGACGCAAAAATATTTCAGTGACAAACAATGCCAATCACAAATGGGTCCACAATTAATGATATGTAACATGTTACAACTTCAACAGAATGTTACTTATGTTACAGGAATATGTACTTGTATTGGTGTATTCTGGCCCACACGTTTATTTGTTTATACGATCCCATTGTCTTTGATAGGACCTACACCAATAAGCATTGCAAAGCACATTTATGGATATGTTGTGGTTGTTTATGGACACATTGTTGAAGCTTAATCTAAGGCTATTCAAAACAATTATATAAAGAGGTGTTTGGAAAGAAGAATCAGTACCAACACCATTAAACCGAAGTTCTTATAAAGAACTGACATCAACATTACAAAGAGAAGGGGTTTGCAATAAAGAAATAATAAATAAATTTGACAATGTGTGAAATGAGGAAAGATAAGCATATACATAAACAAAACATAAACATAAACACATTACAATACAACACAATGTAGCACAATAAAAAATATATATTTAATTAATATTACATTTTTAATTAAAAATATCCCAATTATAGAAAGATGTAGATTTTGTACTTAAAAGAGTCAATTAAGTATTATATCAATTAATTATTGTATCAACACTAATTTAATAAAGTAGAGGTATGTTAATAGGTACTTGTTTAAAAGGCATATTAATATGATGTATTATGTGAAGTTTCTTAATTTTTATCTTCCTCTTCATTCTTTCAAAATATATACATATATATATATATATATATATATAATAAATAAGTGAATATTTTAGTTCTATAAATTTTGCAACCAATAACAAAATTCTACATGAAGAAATCTTCTTTCACAAGAACATTAAACATTAAGATATTTTTTATTTGTTCAACATGTATTGTTTTTAAGATTCTTCTTGTAGACAACAATACTTGCTGGTAGATCATGTGTTGCAAGAAACCATTAAAATTTTCAGAATTAATCAAATCTCTTCCAGAGACATAAAATAAATTTAATCTATATATTTTTAAAGGCTTAATTTTTGTTTTTAAAAGTCTTGCTAAATATGACTAAATTATTCATTTATTTTTTGCTACTGCATTTGACTTATAAAAAAATTATATAATTTATTTCAAAAACATTTTGATTTAGATATGATAAAATGGTTATATATTGTTGATACAAATCATAAAAACTATTTTGATACTTTGGAATTCCAAGGATGTTTATAATAATGTGTTTTGAGGAGAGTTCTTATATTTTAAAGACTTGTATAATCAGCCTTTGGCACTTTAAGTTTTCTATTATATTAATATTTCAAATTTTGATTTATAAATAAATCAATAAATATTCAGAATAAAAATAAATATCTAATATAACTAGAAGAAAAAACTACAATCATAAACGAAAATAAATAGAGGCTTGAAAAAAGACATTAGTATTAATAAATTTATTGAGTCTTCTCTATTTTATTTAATATAATCTATTGTATTTTTTAAAAACTTAAGATTTATCAAAAATATTTATATTGAGAGACAAATACAAGAACCAGCTTTTAAAAATAATCCAATGTATCAAACCATAAATTAAAAATTATATTTATTATTCAATTACCATCAAAGTGCATGTTTAATATACTTGATATTATCCATTATATTTGTACTAGGTCAAATTATAGTTTTAAAATATATACAATATAAAATATCATAATGATTTTTTTATAGAAGTAGTCTTATAAGATTCACAATATTATAGTTATATAAAAAATAATTATATTAATAGAATATTAGACATCAATTGATTTTTTGCAAGTATTTTTTTCATAACAAAATCTACAAATCCAAAATCTTTAGGCATTGTCGCAAACATAAATAACACTTATATTTATCTAGATTAAAGAAGTTAGATAAAAATAAATAGAAGTAAGTAAATTTAATAATATCTCATGGAGTAGCTTCTTAGAAGCTTCAAAAATATAGATCTGATTTTATAAATATATGTAGGTGATTAATAGATTGAAAACTTGGCCAAAAAATTGGCCACATATTGCATAAGTTGGTGACTTATGATACATGTTGGCCATGTAGTGGACATGTAAGAAACTTATCTTGCAAGTTAGACATGTGTTCTATAAGTTTGACACATATCAAAGGTCCTATAGAATGTTGCTACATAGCTTCTAGTTAGATTGTAACATGGTATAGATAAGATAATTGTATAGATAGATAGAACCATGGAAGTTTTTAGAATTTAGGTTAGATTAGTGGACCACATAGGATCCATCGTGGAACATTCTAAAAAGAATTTAACGAGTTTATTTAAGTAGGTTTCATCATGGATACTTCTAAAAAAGACTTAGGATGGTTATTTAGGTGGAGCCCACTATAAAACCTTCTAGAAAAGGAGCTTAAGAGAGTTATCTAGGTAGGATCCACTATTTAAGAATATTCTAGAAAGTCTAAGGTGATAGGATAAGGTATATATAGGACTAATCAGGGCTTTTTGGAGCATCTAGGTAGGTATAGCTTCAAACCTTTTTTCTTAATAAAATTTGGTTTTGCATCTTTTTATTCAATTTAGTTTTGTTATATTTTTATTTGCTCAATTTATCTTTCATGTCTTACTTTGTTTAGTTCTGTTTAATTCTGTTTTGGTTTATTTTTTCCTATTTTGTGATGAGGTTTTATATTGTTGTGGAATAAAAGGATCTTGGATTTTTGACATAGTTTGGTCATATTTTGTTGGTATCAGAGTGAGTGTTAGACTGTTTACTTTTGGTAGCATGTCAATAGTCATTATCTATTCTAAAATGAGTTGTTGTTATTATACAGAGTACTATGTTTAGGTTATCATGAGCTACTCTAAAAAAATCAATCAAGACATGAAAAGATATTATAACAGTAGAGAAATTATAATAAGG